CAAATGATCCAAAAAGTGTCGTTTAGTAAGTGATAAAGGGGTGTTAGTTCTAAAAGCAATTCAGTGTAAAGAAAGCACACTTTATGATCAAAACGAGATGACTTGTTTTGTTGATGAAAAGTGTGTAACTACAATATCAAATGATTGTGTCAATTGTATTAAAACATCGCATTATTACATTCAAGAAAACCACTGCATTTTAAAAGAAATTGATAATTGTGTGAAATATTATAAAGATGTTTGTTTACAATGTAAAGAGAATTTTTTGGTTACAGATGGAATTTGCAAAGAAATTGAGTATTTTAATTGTAAAAATTCAAATGGGGTTAAATGTGTAAATTGTTATCCATATTTTTATCGAGAATTGACAACACAATCAAACACGCTGGCTTATTGTACATCAAAAGAAGACAAACAAATAAAATATGCCACTTCTATTCAAAATGGCCCAGAAATAGTTTTAGAATGCAACGAAAAATATACACTGTTTAATAACATTTGCTCTATTTCTCAAAGTTCAAACTCGAATTTGAAATTATCAAATGAAGACAACACGTGTGAAGTGTCATCATCAAAGGGGTGTCTGAAGTGTTTTGATGGGTATTATTTGACTATTAAAAACGAGTGTGTTTCTTGTGAAACTACCCAATTCAATTGTTTAACATGTAAAAACGAAACGTACTGTATTTCTTGCAACAAAACTACTACATTTTTGAACTCAAATAATAAATGCGAATTATCAAGTGAACTTTCTAAAAGATGTCAATTTATGATGCCGTCAAACACTGGATGTGTCAGTTGTAAAGATAAATATTTCAAAGAAGGACAAGATTGCATTGCGTGTGATATTTCTTGTGAAACTTGCCAAGAAGTAACAAAGTGTTTGTCATGTGCAGACAATTATTTTCAAATACCAGGCGAGTCTCTTTTGTGTTTAAGTTATGATAATTTGACAAATTGTGTTAAGAAAAGTAAACAGGGATGTATGTCTTGTGCTGGTGGGTATTATTTGGGTACAACAATTTCACGTTGTATAAAATGTTCTTCAAATTGTGCGAAGTGTGTTTCAGATCAAAGTTGCTCGCTTTGTGAGTCAAATTTCATATTAATAAACGAATCCTGCAACCCACTCGCTGTTGTACAATATTGTGTTTCTGAGAAAAACAGTTTGTGTGATAAATGTGAAGGTAATAGAAAACCATCAGATGATGGTCTTACTTGTGTTGATCAACCAAATTACATATTGATTAT